GGGCCTCACTTTTGTCTCTATATATATTACTTAAGTAAGAAATACATGGAAACATGCTATAAGACCTCTAATATGCATCCAACTTGTAGGATACATGTCTAATTTACAAGGCAAGTTTCCTAGGTATGCGCCATATGTCCAACTTGTACTATAAGTAGTCAATATATTAACACGTGGCATCCTTGTTGGCCAAGTTTTCAACCTATCAATCACCTGTAGATATGTGTAAAAGCAAGCAACGTTTGTAAAGCTTCTACGAAGCTTTCCACAAGATAATACCATATTTCTCTACTTTGACTTACTTCTATCTATTCTTATTATCTAAATAATTATCACGGATAAATATGTATGTCTATGATAATAGTTCACGATTATTAAATAAGTCTTTTAATGAAAAATCATCACAGTTCTTTAAAGAAATTCATGTAATAGATCCATTAAATACATAATTTTTGGATGGAAATTGAATGAATGACATGGTGTTGATTGGCATGCATAAATGAGGTTAATTAGAAAAATACTTTGACTAATTGCAAGAATCAGAGCGAGAAGAATAGCCAAGTTTTGTTGTAGTGATAGGCCTTCCTTCAAATTTGTATTCATCAGCATAAATAGCAGTATTTAAGCATTGTTACAAAGGTGGGCTAGATCAAGCAACTACATTTTAAATATTGGAGGTTCAAGGCAAGAATGGTTTGCAGTTGAATGACATGTGGATTGGGTTGAAATTTTGAAAATCAACAATCAAGAGCTTGTAAGTAAGAAGAACCTTGGATTAGACAAAGTAGATTAGGATGCAATTAAGTTAGGATTTTGTATGAATGAATGTTTGATGAAATTTAAATTAAAGATAAATTTCTAAATGTGGATAAATTTTCATTCATAGATGAATTTTTTTGGTCAATGGATGAATTTTTAATTAAATAAAAGAAAAAACTAAATAATTATTATAATAAATAAAATACAAATAAAACATATCATTAAGTTTGTTTAATTGCATGAAAATTATTGAGTGACTTATTACTATAAGTGTGAGTTGGTGCTATAGTTTTGGCTCCATTGATTGGATTATTTAAGAAAAAATAAAGAGTGATTTGATTAGAATTCAATTAATAGCTACAACTTCTAAAATTCACATAATAATTCACTTCTTGTGAATTAGAATAAACTTTCAACTAGTGGAGGTTTATTTAGCTCACACCTCGGCATCTTTACAATGCTTGAATTTCTTTTTATGATGATTGATTGTCTTATTTTCTCAATTTATTTATTGGTACCTTCTATCCCTAATTGCATGCTTCAATCAACATTGATTACTTTTGGAATCCAACTACACTGTGCTTTGCTACAAATTCTATCTCATGCACAATATTCGGTTTCTAAAATTGGAATTAAATATCATTAGACGACATCAGATTGAAACAGGAGGAAAGATTCACAAAGGTTAGAAGTAGCGCTGCCAGCAGACACGGTGGACTTGAACCAGTCCCCTGCTGAGCATGACTGGCACTGCAGCACCCACTTGGCTCTGATGACTCCATGCTCCGTAACGACATGCCTATAAACCACGATATGCCTAGAACAGTGCTGATGCCATCACTAGGCGCAAAATCTCGTTCCCAAACATCATAGCTTTACCTTTGGCCAGGTTCTCACTCCACTTGCCCTCCCGCTTCCTACTCACCTAAACATTCCGAGCCCCAATCATGCAAATATCCTAAAATGAAACACTGGTAACACAGAACATCATTCCATTTTTGAATGTCCCCCAACCAAGCTTCCATCAGGCTATACCACCCCCATTTATAACAAACCTCGTATGCCATCGGCTTCATTTGCGGTGCACACTAAAAAGTAATTTCATGCGGGTTAGCTTCTTCCATAAAGACCTATTTTTGCACTCCAGAAAGCTGCTACTAAGACATTCGTTGGTGAATAGAAAAGTTGGTTACCTCGGCAACAACAGATGGAACTGCAACTCACTGTTCTGTGCAGAGGATCAAGTTTCATAAACACCAGCAATCTGGATGTGTGTTCGTGTGCTGCAAGAACTCATACCTCATCAATGCATACCGACCATGACTGATCCTGAATTTCGATGTCGAGTCCAACATATCATGTGCTCGCTCTATTCTCTTCGAAGGACTCACAGCATTGATAGCCACTTATAGTGAACATTGCTGCGCAGGCCATGAGCCTCCATCTGCTGATAACGCCATCTAACCCCGTATTCTTTGTCCGTCGTCCATATCCTGTTCAGGGTGCCATTCTGAGTCTAACTCAGCACTAGCACATTTGAAGATATCGGGCGGATTGATTTCTTCCCTCAGAATGCATTCTGAAGATGTATCTCAACCGGTCTGTGCAGCTAAAGCCAGGAGTTTTCCCAAGCTCCGGAATGGATAACACCAAATCCATAAGTGCAGGTGGGTGCCGCAGGCTCCGTAAAATCGGTAGTGATGCACATGGGATTGATGCTGAGATGGTGGAATTCAAAGCCTGGTTTCATTACAAATTACATGCTTATCAATGGTAATCGTAGGTCATTAACGTGAGCCTACAGGGTAAATGAGTTCAATATGAGCAAAAGCTGAGACAAAGGTGCAGAAATATTCTGCATCGAGGTAGTGTCCAAGAGGGAGTCCATGCACCATGATGAATTAACAAAAGCTGGAGGCTAACATCAATCTTTACACCATATAGGAACCTGAATATGGTGGAGAAGAAGCGGCGGGAGACATTGGAAGTAACAAGCTTGCACTCTTACAAACATTATTCAAATGCTGTTCTCAAATAGGTAGGACTTAAACCCTTGCCTTATTGAAGGGAGTGCTCAAATTATAATCACCAAAGATATATGAATTAGACAGTGTCGTAAAAAACAAAGTTGGAACGTCCTTGTTGCACCTGGAAATTCCATACGATCGAGACAAAGGGTTCTCATCATAGAACTGGGTACACACTGAAAAGACTGACGTTGCTGACAAGGTGTAATTTGAGACTACACTGTGCCCCACGAGAGGGATTAGAGAAATCCACGTTGCTTTTATGTTTTGAGGGTTCCCATTCACGTGACTAATAAAAATTGCAAAATGTGTAGGATTTAGCGTTCAGCGTACGTGAATGCGAAACCTAGTTCAGACAGATCTGATGAAAATATGAATATAAATATAAATATATTTGAATTTATATTTTTTTATTTATTTAAGTAAAGATTGGTGCTCATCAACAAAGTTTGGAAAACTTTGAAACATATTATGGACTTGTTATACATTTTTTTCTTTTATTTTAGTAAATCCACATTCATTTATAAAAAAAATTATGAAGTATTTTAATCAGATACATAACTTGTTCTATTAAAAAAAATTAAAAAAATTAAATGTAGGTTATACATCACAAGCATGTTGTAAGATTTAAAAATAGTATCGTATAATATTTTAAAATAATGTGCGATGGTATGAAATACTTGTAGAAAATGAACATGAAAAGAAAAATTGATAGAAAATAAATAAAAAATAAATATTGATACAACCAAAAAATATTAAGGTTAGACATGACCAATGTATGTAATGATCAAATAATTGATACTAAATTCTTTTCTATTCCTGTTGAAACCATAATACAATTCCACTAAAACACTGATTGTCTGAAATGATAACCAGTTGTAATTCATAATAGTCCATGACACTTATCTGCATCAAGGCCTATATTAACATTAACAATAGTCAATAGCAATAAACATTAACACTTTTGATACCTATATACTATAACAATCAACATTAGCCATAATAGAACTAAGCAAGATCAGAGGTGTCTACTCAAATAAAACATTATATATTAACATAAATAAAAATTTGCCAATAGACAAGACCCATTCCTTTCGTTATGTATAATGTTCTTTGTGACTACTTTTAAAACCAGTACAAACGTTGATCTATATAAATACACATACAAAACTATATCAAAATTTTCATAAGCACAAATCCAAGCAAAGAATAAAAAGCATACAGGTAATAGAAAGAAACAAAACACAACATAAACTAGTTCAATAAGAAAAACACTCAAAAAACAGATTTCTCCTCTATACATTTCACATATAAACACCAATAGCAGCCAACACTAAAAATTACCACCTAAATAAAAGTCTGAAAATGTAAGTTGAAACAACAACATAACAATCTGAAAGAACAAAATGCCACATTATAAATTACTAATATGACCTGCAATCTCATAATAAGATCATACAGTAACTCTTCTGCTTGAAAGACAATCAATGAGTTATACAACTACCAGCAATCAACGATGAGGTAACTAAACTTGCCAAACATGCTAAATAACAGATTGTAAAGTTCTACACAAAGATACAGTAGCATGCTGTAAACGTCCATCGACGTGAACTCACTCACACCGCTCGATCACCCCTTTGCAATGCAATGCAATCCAATCCAATCAGACAATCTACAAAATATATAGATGCCACGATAATTACTACGCGCCTCGGGCACGGACTTCCGCCACAAACCAGCGGGTGGAGGATTCAGCAACATGATTGTCAAGAGTAAGTAAGGTTAAGAAAATACAAAAACCACACAAAACACTAACACAAACAAGGATGGAAGAAACAAGCCGTTCAAATAAACAGCAACGGAAGCAGATGGGCGGAGAAGGCAGTGAGGAAGGCAGAGAACGAGTGGGACCTGGAACGAACGAGCTCAGGTTTATGCACAAAGCCATGATCGAATTTCACCAGATAAGAAAGGTTCCTTCCATCCATCTGCTCTGGGTGTCTGGTCTGGGTATCTGGTCCGGTGGGCGCTGCTGCAATTGGTCATGGGGGCATTTTGAACGAGTCCCATTCACGAATGGAATATGTGGAGGAGCGTGTAGGGGCGAGAGCAGAAAATCCATGGGCATCAATCAAATCAAATGGGAAGGGAGGAGGAGCCCCCTTCTCTCCTTCACCTTTCAAAATGACATTAGAGCGGGGCGAGGAGCGATTCCGTTCGTCCAATTCCGATTCCAGCAGAACCTGGAATCTAGAATGGCGAGGGGGGATTGCATGGGGTTGGGTTTGCACACACCCACACAGCGTGAAAAGGCCGCAAGCCTCGCGGGTGCTGCTGGAGTGGTGTCGGAACAGGGGGTGGAGGGAGCGTGGCCGCGGGTGTCGGCGGTAGATCGCGGCCGTCATCGGATGGGACGGAATAAGAGTGGGCAAGAGGTCTGAAGAGCGAGAGAGTCAGACACGAGGGAGCGAGGGAGGAAGGGACGGCAGCAGCCGGACAGACACACACCCAGCCCCACACGCACAAGAGCAACCCAGGCCCCACGAGGTTCGAGGGTTTCATCGGCCTCGCGCTCTCGCGTCTTCGCGCAACTTCGATCTTGTTTGCATCGCCATCGCCACATACCGATCCCCTCGGTGTCAAAGTGGAGCGGAGTCGCGCAGAGTGGAGCGCCGGGCGGTGAGGGGCTGACGGGCGCCATGTCGACCCCGTCTCGCAAGAGGTTGATGCGTGACTTCAAGCGCTTGCAACATGATCCTCCGGCCGGCATCAGCGGCGCTCCGCAGGACAACAATATCATGCTGTGGAATGCTGTGATATTCGGGTAACGAAGTGCCTCCCTGGTTTCGTTTTTTGTTCAATTGTGTCCGGTCGTGGTGCGGAATTCGCCGGGCGTGGGAGGCGCACGTCGGAGTGTCGGTTTTCGGATGTTTGCGCATTTTGTGACCATTTCGTGATGGTTTGTTGCCGAGTGGGAATTGGTAGCGCGGGTGGGTTGGGACTGGTGGCCGGCTTTGTTCTTTGAATTGCCGATGCCTTAGATGCTTGCTTGTGCGTGCTTGGAGTGGCAATTGAGGGCGGTGGTTGATTGTATGGTTCTTCGTGGTGAAGATTCGTCCTTGTTCTTTGAATGGTTGGTTGTCGAGGGATGTGCATCGAACATGCGGGCTGTCGTGAACATCTAGGGTTCCTGAGTCCGTAGCACGTAGAACCTTTTGTTGGAGTGCGCGAGGCGGGTTATGTATGCGTTGATGTGTTGTGATATGTGAATTTACAGCGGCGATCAACCTCTGCCGGTGGTTCGAGGATTTTTGGCAAATTGTCGTGTGCAGCAGTCTTGTCTTCCTAGGAGAAGAACAGGCGATGAAGAGGCGGGGCATCTGGCCGGGCCTTCTAATCCTTTATGTTAGGGTCGAGGTGGTTGTGGAAGGCAGTGAAAGTAGTAAGAAACTTGTGTTCATGGTTTAGTCATGAAAGTGAGGGCCGAAGTTCATCTCTTCGGAGTGTGCGTGGCATGTTTGTTGTCGTCAATCCTTGCGTTATGGAATGCATAATGTTTTCATGGACGGTGGTAGTGCGAGTGATGGCGAGAGGGCGGGAGTAGACGAGGATTGTCCGTTGGCGAATGCTTTTTTTTATTTGCGTGGTGTGATGCACGCTCTTTTTGGAGGGCGCGTTGATCTGCTTGGTTTTGTTTTGTTGTTTATTTTCAATCTGGCTGGAGGTGGTTGATTTTGTGATGTCTAGGGTTTTTTCTGGCGATGTGAATGGCTTTCGTGGACAGTGGATTTTGTGATTACTCGCTGCGGATGTCTGAGGCCACCATGCGATCATCTTTGTGCTTGCATCCAAAATTTGTGGAGACTGGTGGTTGTAAGGTGACGTGCTTGAACTGAAACTAATGTAGTTCCCGTGTTTATTGTGCAGTCCCGATGACACCCCGTGGGACGGAGGTACGGCTATATCACGTTAATTGTATGCTATAGGAACTGGGAGTTGGATGTGTGTTTCGGGCAATTGGTTGCAGTGTTTGTTGGTGAGGTAGCAACTGTATGTACATGGGATATCATGTAGGCCACTCCGTTTTGGCAGATTGCTTCTCATGCTCCCCCTGCCGGTGACCTTGTCTGTATCGTAGGTTTGGGTCATTTAGCGGTGTAGCGAAACTGCTGGTAGTGTGGAAGTGCACGATTTGTTATTTGAACTTCTGGGAATTGAACGTTTAGGGCTACTGTGTTCTGTGCCTCATGTGTGCATGTTACTATGCGGTTTTCTTCTTCAGGGACGTTCAAGTTGACGTTGCAATTTACCGAGGATTATCCGAACAAGCCTCCTACAGTGCGTTTTGTCTCGAAGATGTTTCACCCTAACAGTAAGCGTTTTCCGCATGCACTTGTACACGAGGGGTCAAGGATGTTGATTGGTTAGGGTTGGGGTGGTCGAAGGTGGAGGGTGGATTGGGATTTTAGCTGTTGTCGAGTGCCGGATGATATATTTGTTTGTATTCGTATTCGTGGAATGTTCTTTCGTTTTCCTTGTCTGGTGCTTGTGCTGAGGACGTGTAGAGTTCTTGGCTCGTGGATCCCGGAGGCAGACAGCATGGGTCCCTGTTTTCACACACTGGTGATTGTGGCAAATCAGTATACGCGGACGGCAGCATCTGCTTGGATATTTTGCAAAATCAGTGGAGTCCCATCTACGACGTGGCAGCGATCCTGACTTCGATTCAGGTGAGTATTTGTGGCCCCAGCAGGTGTCCGTAACACTGTAAATCGGTCAAGACATTTCTGCCAGCACTAAGGTTGGAGGGGTGTGTGGAGGGATGTTGTGTGTCGTGGCAATTGCAGCGGCTTCAATACATCAGCTGTTTTGATTGGCATTCTTCTTGGTCAGACAGGAGCATTGTGGAAGTTGCAATAGGTTGAGGTTTAGGCCTTGTAGATTTGTCGGTTTAGGAGAGGGGGACTGGTTCTTAGTGTGCACTTCACCTTGTCTGGGCGAGAGTGGATGGCTTCTTCTTCAGCGTGTGCAGCCGAACACAGCGATGATGACGACGATGCGTGAAAGCTGTTTCTCTAACACGTGGCTTTGGTGCAGTCTTTGCTATGCGACCCAAACCCGAATTCACCAGCAAACTCGGAGGCTGCTCGCATGTACAGCGAGAACCGGCGTGAATATAACCGGAGGGTACGCGAGATTGTGGAGCAAAGCTGGACAGCAGAGTGAATGGAGGGAGTTGGAAGTGCTGCTGGTTTTGGATTGTCCACCTGAAGAGTTAAGTTTAGTTTCGGTTACTGGGGAGATTTGGAAGTCTAACCTAGAGATGGAAGAGAGTGGTTACGTGATTGCAAGCTTGAACTTCCGGACTCCATTAAATATCACGCTATTACTCTTCTTTGTTTGGAAGAACTTCTGAAGGGGTATTGTTGGGGTTGTCAGTATTTCTTGTCCCTGGTGTGACTAAACCTGGTGTGACTCCAACGTTGGGACATCCTGAGGTTAAGGTCTGGAACCCGGGGTTGGAGTAGAGATGTGTAGTTGGTGCTGTGGAGAGTGTGATTTGCTGGGTGATCATCTGGTCAGACCTAGTTTCCGTATCTGGAGACTATGGATGGTGCTGGCTGACGAGTACTCTTTCTGCCTTTGCTCTACTTTTGGGTTCTACTTCTGAGCGACAACTTTCAATCGGGGTCAAGGATTTTACATGTAAGAGTGTCAAGTGTTAAATAAATCGCAGTGCCAACTTCTCAAGTGTATCATTCAAATTCTTCTGGACACGAGGAGATATCATTTTATGTCAGTTGTTAGTCCTAGTTTTTTCTGGTTGGGAAAAGCAATTACGGAGTTTTCGTTTAGTTGCCTTGGTGATCGTATGACTGGTGGCATGGTTTGATCGATTTGGTAAAAATGAATGGAAGTCCGCTCTCGGCGGTGGTCGCTGTCATTTTTAATTTGTATGGATGATCAAATGGTTTCAATTTCTCCTGGGTGCAGAAACAGTATCAATTATATTTTTTAATTTGGAATATCATAGAGTATTATCTTCTCTTCAAGGTTGGGGATTTTTCAGCTGGGACTGGAACTGCGTACCTGCCATTCTTTGGTAGAATGGTAGTTGAAGGTGATTGGATACCTCGTGTGTTCGTTTTTGACTTGTTTATTTGTTCTTGCGGATGAGCTGTTTGTCGTGTTCTTTGTTTTTTGTCTTTGAAGTTGTACGGGATTGTGGACCTGTCCAGTTCTATGCACGTACGTGTGTGTTATTCCCCCTTTTTTTTTGTATATTTAGTGTCCGTATTGATATTAGCTCTTATTTTTACAATTTTTTTGATGTTTTAGTCTGAAATTGTTGCTATAGGTAACGTTACTTGAGATGAAAGAGTTTTACCTTGATAGAAGAGTGAATGTGTGCCAGATGAAGCACAAGATCTGCAATTTTGTCTTTTTGTAAGTCTAATGACAAAGTTTCCACGTGTGATTAGACGGACTGGTTTGATTTGTTAGATTAGTGTATCAAATAGTTAGGCAAATCAAACTAGAGAGAATGCCCGCAGATTGGATTTGACATTAATATACATCATGCCCTCAAAGGTGAAAATACTTTAATGTGGAGGTGACCATAAACAATTGCAAATGCAAGTTCTGCAGCTGCTTACTTTTTAGTGAACGGAGCCTAGTAACACCTACGGAGGCTTTGCAAAGAACTCTCTCCGTCCAATACGAAGTTGCAGTGTGAACGGGATCCGATGACAATGACGGAGTCCCTCACAGAGAACTCTTTCTATCTAGCATGAGGCTACAGTGTGAACGGGGCTTGATGACAATGACGGAGCCACACACATAACCCTGTCCATCATCTGGTTCATATTTTTGGTTCATATTTTTGGAGGTGTGATATAACTAATTTTACACTGTGCCAACAACATCAACCAATTAGTGATTTTTGTGGACAAATAGATAGACGGATAGACACCATTTTTTTGTTTTTTTACCTAAGTAGGCATATACATGATAATAATTTAACATTAGCTAACCAATATATCTAATGTTATAACTTGTATTTAAATTTAGAACCTATTTTTGTAAGTATATTGAACTTCAAGCAGATTGTATTTTTAGATTATCAAAAATTGTTATTCAAAACCAAAGGTTTAATATACTTATTGTGGTTTAGATTAGTGTTGATTTTATTGTATATAGAGCAATTAATATTGAGTAATTAGCAATGATCTTGCAAGCTAATCAAGACATTAGGTTAGACGAATTTTCTACTACATAACATATTTATATACAATCAAATAGACATATGTGTATCCTTATGTATAGACATATTGACAGTGAGAATAAACATAGGAAATACCTAAATGGACATCTTCCAATTATTGCATGGAAACCTTTTATATACATACTTTAGAATGAAGATTTCCAACTCCAATTAAATGCAAGCATGTTCATATGCAATCTACTCTTGTGAAATTACTACCTACTTATATTTGGTTGTAATCCTTGCAAAACATGTGGAAACACCTATTGCATCTTTATGCTTGTGTGCTACTAAATTACTATTGGATGGGTGGTAATTGCCATTCTGCTACTAGTGAATGGTCATATTGTTTATTACAAAGGATGCAACCATGGTTGAGTTGTAGAGCTTCAAAAATAACTCTCTAAAAAATTACAATATATTATCACATTACTCTAATCAACTTGTTAGACATGCCACTTTATAGAGTATTTGGACAAATGCTTCCATACTTGTAGAACATGATTAAAAATAGCTTTTCGTCATGGATATATATATATATATATATATATATATACTTATTGTTATCATCACCTAGATAGTTAGAATTAGGTAAAAATAGATTAATTTCATAATACTTTCTAGAAGAGCTTCCTAAAAGCTTCCTAGACACTATTTTGGCTTTACATATGTTTGTAGTTGATTGGTAGGTTAGAAACTTTGTCAACAAGCTATCCATGTGCGACATATGTTGATAGCTTGTGGAATAAGCTAACTATGTGGCAATCATATAGAAAACTTGCCTTGCAAGTCAAGATACATGTCATGCAAAGTCAACATGTTTTTGGAAGTCCTACAAAATGTTACCACATAGATCCGAGGTAGATAGTATATATAGAGACAAGAGTGAAGTTTTCTTTATTCTTTTCAATTCTTTCCTTGCTTCTAATCTAGATTTAAGAGTCTCTAGTTTCCTTGTCTTTTGACAATAGCCATTCTAGTTTCTTTTGAATATACATACTACTTCATTTCTATTTTGCCACTTTTTTTTTTAACACAAATTTCCCATGTTTATGCATATTTTTTTAATTCATGTCCTTGACAAATTGACAAGATTACACTTATAATATTAGAGCTTTGTTGTTTCTTGATTAAGAGTATATTATCGCTTTTTCTTGAAAGACATAAGCATATTAGAAGTTGCGGATTATCTTCTTCTAAACTAATACTTTTTTTAGTATCTTCTTTGTTCTTAAGTCCTTTCTTCTACTTGTCTTGAGAGAGTTGTTAGACATTTTTTTTTCTAAAGTGTTGTTATGGCAGTGCTTCTTAAAATGAAGAATACAATAGCATAAATACAAGAGCAATTGAGAGAGTTGATGCTTGCGATGCATCAATTTAATTGATTACCACCTAGAGCAACAAAAATAGCAAGAAGTGAAGATACAAACATGATTGGAGATGCTTCAACATCTACACCGAATCACATCCCTTCTCCTATACTAGAACATTCTTCTAGTATTAGAAAATTAGAGTTACCTTACTTGAGAAGTTTAATGGCAAAAGATCCAAGTTTTGAGGATTTATCAATCAAGTATAATTTGTGACTGAACTTCAATTCCAAAGCTATCCAACACTAGGATCACAAGTTAGATTCATTGGTATACTTCTTTCAAGCTTAACATTATCATGGTTTTCATCTTTTTTTGAACAACAAGATCCAAAATTGGATAATCAAGAAACTTTTTTGAAAGAATTTTGATCCATGTATGGAGAACATGATGCAATTTGTGTTGCAACTAATAAAATTTGTATATTGTAACAAGACAATCAATGAATGATATTATATACTTCACCATTTTGATAATTAGCGATTGACTTCAAGTAGAATGATGCTACCCTTATTAGCCAATTTTTCTATGAATTACAATATGAGGTAAAGAAATTGATACTCAACTTACATGGTCTTTAGATATTAAGTGAAGCAATTGATTTTTCTATGAAGTATAATAATCAACTTTTTGAGTTTCAATCTGAGAATTGCATAAGAAAACCTCTACGCTATTACAATTCAATGCCAATACCAACCACCTTTCAATCTAAATATCTAGAAGTAGAAGACATGCAAATTGATGCGGTATATTTTAAACTTCTTACTAAATAAAAAGAGACTCGTCATCGTTAAGAATGATTGCATTTATATTGTGGAGAAGCTAAACGTGCTGCTCAATATTGTTCAAAGAAATGATGCTACTACAAAATGAGGAATATGACTATCAAAGGTGAAAAAATGTCAAAAAAAAAATTTATCCAATTGCAATAGAGACCATGTGGCTGAAATCTTATACAAATGAAGGTCTTATCCTCTCTTCAAAATCCTCTCCTTATTTTATAATAGATGTATATTTAAGACCTAATAATCACAAAGCCTTTGCCTTGATAGATTCAGGAGCCTCAACTTATTTCTTAGATGAAGAGTTTGTTAAAAGCCATAGAATATTGTTAATACAAAAAACTAAACTCATACATGTAGAAGTCATAGATGGTTGTTTGTTATCTTTTAGAGATATTATTTATAAAACATTTCCTATAGATGTAGCAATAAATGGTCATAATAGTTGCATAATTTTTAATATAATTAGATCTCTATCTAATCAAATCATTTTAGGTTTATTGTAGTTAGAAAAGTATAATCTTTTGATAGATTGGATTTTTCATAAACTTGACTTTCCTCATAGTACTATTAAGAGTTTTGTAAAAAACCATGAGTCTAGTATAACCAAATCCATACTTATAGGTTCAAAAGCTTTTTTGTTTGCTGCAAAAAAATTATCGTCCTTTGTTATTTATGCCACATCCATTTTTAATGATGGAAAGACTTCAAGTGACATTCTAAGTCTATATCAAGATTTTTAAGATATTTTTGAAAAGAAGAATGCAAATATTCACCTGAAGCATCATCTATATAATTGTTCAATTGAATTTAAAGAGGGAAATCAGTCACCATTTGGTCCAATCTATAATTTATCACAAAATAAGTTGGCTGAATTTTAGAAGTACATAGATAAGAACTTCGCCAAAAATTTCATATATCACTCAAAATCTCCTACTAGAGCTCCTATCTTATTTGTGAAGAAAAAAGATAGATCATTGCAAATGTGCATAGATTATTGAAGTCTCAATAAGATTACCATTAAGAATAGGTATCCTTTATCTTTGATATCTGGACTTTTTGATCAACTAAATCAAATTAAGATCTATAAAAAAATAGATCTACAAAGAGTGCACAACTTGGTTTGCATTAAAGAAGGAGATGAATGGAAGATTGCATTTCGAACAAGATATGGATACTTTGAATATAATCTCATGCCTTTTAGACTCACAAATACACCAACTGCTTTTAAATATCTTATAAATAATATTTTTTGTGAATTTCTAAATGATTTTTTTGTCTGTTATTTAGACAATATTTTAATCTATTCTAAAAACACAAAAGAGCATGAAATTCATGTTCATCATGTG